GCTCTGCAGGCAGTTCCTTTGATCTCATGGCCGTTGCTGTCCTACACTATATGTCCCTTGTGAGGGCTGCTATAGAGAGGTGCGTGCCTTGCCAAATCATGTCTAATCAATTTAATTTATCAAAGGTGGACGCTAACAAAAGTTTAGAAACACGTCAGCAACGATCAAGAGAAATGAGAAGCACCAGAGCTAAATTTCAAATGTTGTTACAAAGGGTATGAATATTTATGCCAGTGTGATATTTCAGCTTTTTAATTTTTAATAAATTTACAGACATTTCTAAAATTCTGTTTTCACTTTGTCATTACGGGATACTAAGGACAGATTATTGGAAAATAATGAATTTCAACAAGTTTAGAATCAGGCTGCAGCATAACAAAAGTGACAAAAGTGAAGGAGGCCTGAGTACTTTCTGAATGCACTGTATAAATTAATCAAATATTTCCTACATTAGAAAAGGAAGACATAATTGGAAAAGAAGGCCAGGAGAGATTAGATTTGCTTTTAGCCAAAGCCAAAAGGCTAAAGGCCTACATATGTCTCATGATTACTTATGTTTTTTTAAAAAAATATGTGTAAAATTGTATTTTAGAATCACTGGACTGAGTCTTTATTTCTACAGGGAATATTTGCCGGTCTCCCATAGCTGAAGCTGTTTTTAGAAAACTTGTAACTGAAGAAAACCTTGAAAACAAGGTAAACTTGATTTTAATTACTCCAAGCTTTTTTCTGCTAGCATTATTTAAATAAATTGCTTTGTTTTTCTGTAGTGGAGGATAGACAGTGCAGCAACCTCTACGTATGAAATAGGAAATCCTCCAGATTATCGAGGCCAGAATTGCATGAGAAAACATGGCATAAGTATGAATCATATTGCCAGGCAGGTACTGTACCCGTATTCTTTTTAAATGCGTGTCTATCTGTGTTCTTATTGTTTGCAGTGGATGATAGACAGTGGTGCTGTTTCTGACTGGAATGTGGGACACTATCCAGATCCAAGGGCTTTAAACTGTCTGAGAAATCATGAAATTGAAACAGCTCATAAAGCACGACAGGTAGAAAGATGTGTCTATGTGTGTGATTGAGTGCATGTGTTTGCAGAAAACACGGGCATACCTGTATGCCACAACCGTTTTGTGTTCTGTGAAAGGGTGGATAAAGCATTATATACTGAATAACCAGTGCAACATCTTTGTAAAAGTGAAACTATAGATACTGATAACACTGTAACCTGATTCACCTCTCAACATGGGGCTTTGATCCTTACTGGCAATGTCATTGGCCATCTCCTCAGCTTGGACACATCCATGCTTGAGTTTGCACAGGGTGAATAAGATGGCATCCAGGCACAGATTAAAAGTTAATGATTTTTAAAAAATGAATTTCAAAAATTTTAATGGGATTTTTTTATTAATCAGATTTTAAATTGTATACAATATGTAATCATGAAAACTGAATTATATTCTACTTTATACAAAGTACTTTATAAGGATAGTTCTCAACCTAGGATGGTGCTATATGAAAGGACAGCCACATGAACAAAATTTGGGCACAGGACCTTCAGTTACGATCACAGGAGCTCTGCAACTCCCCCATGATCTCCTCTGCATCTCAGCTGCCTACCTAGTCAGCTATTGAGTGCAAACCTGCTACAGCCAGGGAGGCCATGGCTGGCTATGGGATCCACTCGCATGTACAAAGCATCACACTTAACCACTGTTTTTCTTCAGCTGCTGATGCATATGGCCAGCCTACCTGAGGCATAGCCTTCCTACTGAGGCTGCCTCGCACCATTCTCCAAGCAGCATTAGTTAATACAGGCAGGTANTTTTCATGATGACAGTGGTGAGGCTCTGCCTCCCCTGCCTCCGCTGACTGCACGTCCCTGCTTTAGAGGTACTTTCAAAAAGAGAAAGGAAAGCATAACTCAAGGCAGAACAAGGCTTCCATAACATATAGAAATGAAAATCTCTCTCTTTACCAGGTATGAGCTTGTCAGGACCATTCCTGGAGGTTATTTCAGTAAATTCTCTTAAAATTTTAGCTGCCTTTTTGGCTTCCGATTTCAAATTGGAAGGTATGGGATTGTTCACTAGAAGACAAAAAAAATAAATATAAAAGGACATTATAATAGTATAACGTTGACAAGAGAAGCCGAGACCATCTTTCATTTTTTCCAATGGTTTGTAAGACTTGATTGGACCATAACTCTCAACTTAGTCATATTCCGTGTTGCTGTTACAATTCCCTTCGATACCTGCGTAATAATGGCAGAACTCAGGTGAACCTTTGGCCTTTCACGGAATGAGGAACCGGGGGACAATTTCTTTCCAATGACGTCCACCGGTCCTTCAGCTCACCTGGGACGGGGATGTTTTGCAACCTGTCAGCTGGGGAATGTTGTCTGGCTGGAAAGAAACGCTCTTTATGCCATGGCTCCCTCCCTTTGGAGCATCATTCCTCAACGGTCAGATCAGCTTCGACTTCCAGGCCTTTGAAGTAGTCCAGAGAGGGAAGCACTAACCGTGAACACTGACAGCATGTTTATTGTAAAGTTACAGTAGCAACATTTGGGGGGGCCTGAAAGTACATCTCCCTCATCCACCCACCTTTACAGTCCAAGAAGTTAGGGAGGATTCTTTTTTAGGCCTCCGCCGCATTGCTTCCGAAAACCCAGGTGCCATTGCTCTGACTGCTGCCAAGGTCCTTCTCCTCCCGTCCCTCACGGAGATTTTCACAGACCATAAGGCTGACCTTGCTGGCTCCCCACAAGGCCTTGAAATGTGGTTTCACCTTGGAAGTGTGGTAAAGAGAACCAGTGCGGTCTAGTAGTGAAGGCACCAGGCTAGAAACCAGGAGATGATGAGTTCTAGTCTCGTCTTAGGCATGAAAGCTAGATAGGAGAATTTGAGCCTCTCTCTCCACCCAGCCCACCTCCTCATAAGGCTGCTGTGGTGAGGAAAATAGGGGGAGGAAGGAGAGTTAGGTACTTCTACTGCCTTAAGCATAAAAAAAAAATTAGTAAAGGCGAGATAAAAGTTACATAAATAAATACATACACCCATACATACCGCGTACATACATATACCCAGTGCAGTAATTGTACAATTGTTGATGGATATTGGAATACCTCAGCTATAGATTTCGTTATATGGCTTTTCTATTGTTTTTAATTGTTTTTAATCCTTGTTTTCTGTTATTTTTTAAAAAGTGATGAGCTGCCCTGAGTCATATATTTGAGGTTGGTAACTATATAGATAGTTATAGATTGAAATAAATAAAGTAAAATCTTAACACAGGAATATTTATTGATATTGAAGTGACGGGTTAGGGATAAATGATAATCTTTTTCCACTACATACCCTCTGAAGTTTATTTTAAAATCAATAAGTGATTAGTCTAATTTAATTCTACCGACTATCAAGAGAAAAATGTAGCAGGAAATAGAAAAGCAGTTGTTCCGTTTCAGCAAGGAAATTTACTGTCTGATGATTTTGAAATGCTTACTTCCCAGCTATTAATTTGAGAAAGATGATCATGAACAGGAAACCTTAATGCGGCAAAAGATTTAAAACTTTAAAGAAAACTCAGTTTATAGTTAACAATATAACTAATCACTCACTGTGTTTATTCTGAAAATGCTCTTTTTCTCATAACTAATCCTAGTGAAATAAATGAAGTTATGTTGTAAATTGTAATGATCCCATTAAATTCTACAAATATTTAAGGATCTGTTATGATATTTTCAAGAACTTGTACTAATGAATAGACTACTGCAACTTAAGAGAGAAATAACCATTTGAATTGCAATGTATATTTACTTATAAAAGCTACAATTAAATACTGAGTTGTCCCCCCCTCTGAGAGAGAGAGAGAGAGGTATTTACATATATGTATATATTATGCGTTTTTTCCATTAAATACTGTCACAATTGTATGACTCCTGGGGGTTTCTAATCGAAAAACAAAATGAAATTTAAATACAACTTGTTCAATTTTTATATTAAACAGATTTAACATCGAAACATTAAAATAAACATTTGGGTTGTTCACATCAGGCAATATCAATTTCAAAAGCTCCAGTATCTATCATAGCTGTAAGGACTATTTCATAACAAAAGCTTGCAGCCGCCTCATGTGTCAATGTTTGATCAGAGGGCAAATATTATTGTGTACTACTCAGTTGCTTTTGGTGACAATAGCTGCCACACAAGTTGGATTAATAAATAAATTATAAAAAATGGAAATAGGGTAGGAGGTGGGAATATTTCAGGAACATTTTCTTATATTATTATCCTTTTACTACAAAAGGCCAGATTTTGTCCTAATGGGTTTACAATTAGTGTTTGATCCAGAGAGAGGGATCACATGGGATTAGCCACATTTTCACATACTTAATTCTAATTTACAGTACAGAATGAACACACTGCTTTGGAAAGTATGAGATTTGAGAAACTCTTAAGAAAGAGATGAGAGAGATAAAGGAAGGAGGGAGGGAAAGAGAGAAAGAGATGTCATCTCACAAGAATGTTTGCCTTGCATTATAATTAAACAAATACATGGTGCAAGACATGAATAGAAAAAAGCAATGTACCGACAGTATTAAAAATACAAATAAAACTGCTCCTACAAATCGGCATCACATAAGTTAAATTTACTTCAATAATATATAGAAGATTCAAACTTCTGAATGACGTGGTGGCCTAGTGGGAGCGATGTGGTGGCCTAATGGCAAAGACTTTTGCCTCCTCCTTGGAAGATTGAGAGTTCAGTTATAGGCAGTGCCAGATATTTCTCTCCCAGGGGCCAAAGGAAAAAATAGGTGCTGTGATATTGCAAGGTGTCAGGAAGGGTATCCAGCTAGTAAATGTTTAGCTCCGTCCACTTTCTCCGATTCTACCCTGACTTAAGGGATTACAGGGTTGTAAAGCAGGAGCTCAGACCCAACACCCGAGGCACCCCGTGAAATACTGCAATTCACAATGTACTGTCATACATCAAATACAATAGGTCCAGGAAATTACAGTGTATAGCTATTATATCATTTTCCCCATTGACCATTTGCAATACCTCCACACAAAATAGACAATCCATGAACCATAAGTTGGGAACCATCGTAGTATAAAGTAGTCCTCAAGTTACAACCATTCATTCAGCAATCAGAGTTACATTGACACTGAACAAGTGGAACTTACAAGCAACAATTGAGGCTGTGACTCTTGCAGAGTTCCAACAGTCTTATGATTGCAATTCAGGCTCTTGGCTGACATTCATAAGGGTTGCAGTGTCCCATGGTCACGTGATCACCAGGCGTAACCTTCCATGCCAGTTTATCATAAGCAAAGTCAAAGAGAAACTTCAAAGCAGAAGCTGGTAGCAGGTTTTAAGTTACTCACAATCCGGCTGCTTTTCCTCCTGAGGAGCCCCGTGGGGATCTTACCCACCCATACCCCGTGGTGCCCACACTTTTGGCAGCTACCAATTTGCACCTTGTAGCACCCACAGGCCTGCATGTCTGGGATGAGCTTTCCCAGACTGCATTCATACGAGGTCCTTGCTTAATAACCTGTGGGATCCTTGCTAATGACAATAAGAACCTCCAGGATTGCCATCACTAGTCATGCGACTAGTTCTCTTGCTGTTGTTAATAACATTAATCTCCCTTTTGCAGACGTTTTCAAAAAGACGATGAAACACCAGAAATAACAATAAACACCCCAAAGCTCACATACCCTTTGCATATCTTTCTTTAATGAATAATATCCGTTAACTATTTGTTGATTTAAATGTATAGCCAAAGCAGCACAGCCCCTTCTGCACTGTGCAATTCTCTCTACCCACATTCTATTGATAATCCTGTTCCCATTGGTTGTAGAAAGAAAAT